GCCTTGGAAAGGGTTCAGAAAAGGGCAACTAAAATGATTAGGGGTTTGAAATAGGTCCCATATGAGGAGAGGTTAAAGAGACTGGGATTTTTCAATTTAGAAAAGAGGAGACTGAGGGGGGTCTCATAAAATCAGATTTTATAGAGGTCTATAAAATCATGAGTGGTGTGGAAAGGGCAGATAAAGAAAAGTTATTTATTAGTTCCCACAATAGAAGAACTAGAGGACACCAAATGAAATTAATGGGTAGCAGGTTTAGAACAACTGAAAGGAAGTTCTTCACACAGCGTGTAGTCAACCTGTGGAACTCCTTGCCAGAGGAGGCTGTGAAGGCTAGGACTATAACAGAGTTTAAAGAGAAGCTAGATAATTTCATGGAGGTTAGGTCCATAAAAGGCTATTAGCCAGGGGATAGAAATGGTGTCCCTGGTCCCTGTTTGTCAGAGGCTGGAGAGGGATGGCAGGAGACAAATCGCTTGATCATTGTCTTCGGTCCACCCTCTCTGGGGCACCTGGTGCTGGCCACTGTTGGCAGAGAGGATACTGGGCTAGATGGACCTTTGGTCTGACCCAGTACGGCCGTTCTTATGTTCCTGCCTGGGGGTGCTCCAGTGAGCCTGGCAGTGAGGTGCAGCTGCCCACCGGAATGACACCCCGGGCAGGGCCCCAGGCCCGTGCTGGGAAGTGGGAATGCGCGGGTGTGCAAGGGAGTTTCATGCACTAGCCTCTTCCCACCAGGTCGGTGCTGCCCGTCCAAAGTTAAACGGCGTTGAGGGGTTTGGAGGCGGGGATGCCGATCGCATGTTTCGCGTAGGGTGCCAGTTGCTGGCAGTTTGTCTAGGGCCGCTCCTGTGCACGAACACTTTGCACCTGGAAGTGCAGCACACCAGAGGGCCTCTGTTTGGACAGGGAACAAGGCAGAGACCCTTTGATCCTGGAGGGTGCTCCAGGCAAGGCAGGGGCTGCATGTGAGGGCAGAGAGCAGAATATGAAAGGCCCTGGCACACTGTGAAATGGATGGACAGGCTCCCAGCACTGTTACCCAGCCTTCACCTCCCGACACCTTCCACTCCACCCAGCCCCCTTCTTAGCAGGGTCTCCCCCGCTGTCTGACTTTCCAGGCACCTTTGTGCTGCACAGGGTAAACCAGCCTAGAACCAGAGCGACAGGATGGCCCAGTGATTAGAGCTTTAACCAGGACTTGCCAGACTCTGCTGTTCCCTTGAACCATGGTCCAGTGTGTCTGTGCCTCCAGCTTTGTTTCTTCTCTGCCCCTTCACTGCAGTAAGCCAGCACCTTGGGATCTTTACTGTTTGTTCCCTCCCAACCCCCTATGAGGCAGGGCATGGCTAAGAACTCGTCCCCTCCCCCCGCAGAAGCAGAGCCCCAGAGATGCTCATGGTCACACAGGAAGTGAGTAGCCCAGCTGGCAAATGAACTCCTAGGACACTAACCACTGGACAATGCTGCCTTTCTGTCTTAGTAGCCCTGGAGCTTTGGAAAATCCCACCAAGCACATTCAGCGCCTTTACAGGTCTGGCCCTCCTTTGAGGCTGGGCGATTCTGCGGGAGGCAGGAGGTTGTCTTAGCTCAGGCTCTGAAATTTTTATTTCCAGTCACGTTTAGGGTTTGCTGGTACACAACCTGGCTTTTCAGCCTTTCTCACCAGAACGCCGAGTGACGGCACCATTGCTGGCATGGGGACATGCACCTGGGGTCAGCATGTTAACCCTGCCTCATGCAGCTGAATGTTTCCTTGCATCAGGAGCACCCTTGGGCCCTAGCAGGCTGCATGTGTGTGCCCTCAAGGCTAGGAATGCCAGAAGGACCACTGCATGCACACCCTTAACTCTGCCCCTCATTTCAGCGCAGGGGTTCCCTGGGGACACAATGCATGGCCGAGCCAGGCTGTCAGTCTTTCTCCGCCTCCAGAGCGGGTTTGTTTAAACACGGCGTCTATAGCAACAGGCTGGGCTGGTGGCCACTGCTTTTCTGCTCCCTACCCAGCTCTTGCTGGCAAGCTGCTTCCAAACAGGCTGCACCTGCACCATGAATGTGGGGGCAGCTGAGCCCTGTGGAGAGCGTCTAGCACCGGTGCGGCTCCTCCAA